AGAGGCCGGGGACATGCTTTGGTGTGAAGTCAAATTGGTCGATGAAGTACATCCATCGTCCGATCGTGCTGCTCACTGTGTCTTGCGTCTTGTAGTAGGTCAATGGATTGTTGTCTGTGATCCATATGAACCTACGACGCCCAAGGAGGAAGTGCCGCCAGCATTTGAGAGCCATCACGAATGCGAGCAGCTCCTTCTTTCTTGCATCATCAAGCGAGTTGATGGGAGGCACTTTGTGGCTAAAATACTCCACAGGGTGCCAGTCGTCGCCGTCGTGCTGTTCCAAGACTGCCCTAATGCCACACACACAGACAACCTGCTCTCTCTCTCTTTTCTCCCCCCTTCCAACCCGTATTTCTTTATTTTCTTAGAAAAGATCAGCCGTGCACATACATGGTATGTGAGGACCTAGGTACTGTACACGAAAAACACAAGAAAAACAATAAGAAGAGAATGAAGGCTGTCAGGGTAAAATGCTAACAATGGGCTTGCTGGTTCACGCACCTCAACCGTAAGAAAAACTTGATGCTGAAAACCCCTCCACTACCTGTCACGCCAGTTCTCTCTCACCCAACAGTTCTTGAGCCGGCCGAGGCCGTGGGAGAAAGCCCATCCCTGGCAATGGCGCCAATTTGTCGTGCTAGGCGGCCTCCTTCGTAGGCTACCGAGACCCCTATTCCCTGGTCCCGCCCAGGCCGAACCTTGCCCCCGCTTAACTCGCCCCCTCCCCAACTATCCCGCACCGTTTCTCCAGCAGCGCAATCCTTGGCACCCGTCTCCCGTTCTCTTCTCTCTTTTCTCGTGTTTCACACCCGAGACAGCTGCAAATCTCAACTGGGATTCAGACCAGGTACTTAGTTCCGAAAGGAAAATAAAGCGACATGGTCAAGACTTGAAAAGCTCGACCCATTGACATTCAAGGACTTCCAGTGGATGCCCATTGCCTCGACCGGACGATTGCCGAAACCGCATTGCAATGTGCTTATGGCACAATTGCGGGACTTCTTGCACACTGCAGTACCAGCTCCGTTGATGGACGCTGGAGCAGAGGTTGTCGACCTTCACACTTTCATCGCGAAGATCGACCGCGAGTTCAAGACGCAATGGTACGACGACATCGACGCACCATTGCTATACATACGCATTCAGATCGGAGAGGCGACCTGCRSTGCCTTGATCGATTGCGGAGCATCTCGCAACTACATCMGCCAGGACTTCATGGTACTCGCCGGCCTTGGCCCACGTGTCCGGAGGAAGTCCCAGCCTACGCAAGTCACTCTGGCAGACGGTCATACGCACAAGTCCATCGACCGATGCATTGACGCCGTCCCAGTGTACTTTGCCCCTCACGCAAGTGAGGCGGTGTCCTTTGACATTCTGGACACCAAATTCGACATGATCTTGGGCATGTCATGGCTGCGAAGCAAGAATCACCCGGTGAACTTCTTCAACCGCACCGTTCACATTCGTGACCAGAACGGAATATTAGTTCCATGCACGGTGCCTCTTCCTCATYCTTCGATCAGCTGCCACGTGGTATCCGCCGCAAGCATGCGAGTTTCCATCATCAGAGACGACATCGAGGAGATGGGGGTGTGTTTTCTCCACGCCCTCCCGCCACATGACGCTTTCAGCGGACTTCTCGGATCCACGCATCACCGAACTTCTCGACGCCTACAGCGACGTGTTCGAAGGCCCGCATGGAGTAGTACCGGATCGACCCATCCGCCACGAGATCATCCTCGAGGA